CTATAACAGAGACACAGACAACAGAAGCAAGTTAAAACAATCGATAATTGCTTGCTGTTCGGGCTGTGGTGGATAGAGTACTGCTACTTACCAGTGATGTTTGGGTAATTGAGAATTATAAAATTGTGGTGTCTATATTGTGGTGAACATCAAGGACTATTGGCTAAAAAAAACATTTTTCTTCTCTGGAAAGCTGACATATTTTGGTCATATCAATGGCCATGGCGAAGTAAAAAAAAAAAATAATAGAAGAAGGCATGGGACCAGTAAACGAATCTCTAGTCTCTCAAAGATGAAAACAGCGGTGAATGGAGAGTAAGAAGCAACAACGAAATTCATAATCCGTTTAAATGACCACTGATCACTGGCATCATGAGAGAAAATAATGAAATGGTTGGGACATATTGAAAGAATGTCAGATGACAGAGAACTGAAAACTGTATACTCGAGGGAGATGAATGGTCGTAGACCACGATGCAGACAAAGAAGACGATAGAGAGATAACATCCAGACAGACCGCAAACACTTGGTGTCACCCACTGGAAAGAAAAGGCCAACCAGAGAGATGAACGGAGGCGGGTGATATCTGCAGTAATGAATCTCAAAGGCTCGGAATGCTGATGAAGAAGTTGAATGGTACCAGGAAGGAGGGACAGGGGCCGACCAACACGAAGATGGGCACAGGGTTTAGGTGATTCCTTGAATACGAAAGTACACGAGGTGGGCGAGCTGGTGAGAGACTGAGTTTCTTTCAGGCATACCGAGAAGAGACCGACTTTGTGTAGAGTATCTGCTACATGATAATGATGTTGTATATGTGATGATTTTTTTTTAGCTATTCAAGTTGGCTTCATAACTCCCTGCAGAACCTTTTTTACCCTCCCACTTCTTTATTCAGTAAAGGACGACTAATGAAAAATATAAAAGAGTTAAATCAACAACGTGGCTTAAATGACAAAACAGATAAAGCAGCGGCGCTGGAACTTAGGGTTTCATAAACTTTGAACACCCCCCCCCCCCTAAAAAAAAACGGAGGAGGGCACCACACCCAATAATTGGAGATTGACTCTAGTCCTGTTCCAGGAACCGAGTGTTGCGTGCACATCCGTTAAACATGTCTGACCCATTTGCATGCAGACTGTTGGTTTCCTTGCTTTTCAGGCAGATGTACTCCAACTTCGAAGGACGCTCACAGTTAGTCGGCTCTTACAACATGCTTCTGTGGTAGGCAAATGGTCAATTCTTGTTTTCCCCACAGTAGGGCCCCGGAACACCACACGGGGATCTTTTGTTGTTGAACTGTTTGCACCAGGGGGTGCGCTGGCATTTATAGTTACTTCTTCTTTTTCTTTCTCTTGAAAATAATAATAATAATAATCGTTATTTTTTATTATTACTAAGCACTCAAACGAGACTTAAGCCGACTGAGAGCCCCTAATTCCTCTCACCTCACTCAATTATAAGAGAAATGAACCCTCTTCTTCTCTCCCCTTTCTTCCTTGTTTGTGACAACGCCCCTGAAGAGAACGACACGTCTCATCAGGAAACATAAATCAATATAACAGCAGCGCACACAAGATTGCAACAATAAGTTGGGGGTCTGAACGGGTGAGAGCCGTGTATTGATTCTACGACAGTCTATGACTAATGGAATGACCTTTTTTTCCCCCCCTTTTTTCCAAGACAAAATTCAGGAATCACCAGTTGCCGGTTCTTTGTTCTTGTTCCAAGGAACAAATACTGGAACATCCAGCTTGTTGCTGCAGTCAGAGTAGTCGGAAACATGTAATTTCTTTGTCTTGATTAATAACCCACGCAAACGCACTTTTCAGAAGGTGGAGAATACTTAGATTAATTAATCTATATCAACAAGCTAGAGATTGTTTAGAAATAATTCAGTTACAGTTAGCAAATTAATGTATAGTATGTTGAGTTTGAGTTATGTGTTGTGTTGATTCGAGAACCGACATCACATTACTCGGGGCAGTCCCATAGGCACTCCGTCCCTATCTTCAGCAGCCAGCGCAGAGTTCTAACACCAATGGCGCCAGTAACGTTAGATTATACGTCCCTCTTGCCTTTCCTCTGAGCGTCGAGTATCACCTCGTCATTTCCTCGCTGCATCACTCTCATCAGGCTGTGGTGATTCATTTACGCCTCCGAAATGTACACGTTCTCCCACAAGGCAATAACCATATCTGCCTTATAATACATCAATATTCCACCAAGTTGTGCAGAGCCAACCAGTCTGTCCGCCTGTTCATTTCCCAACACACCGGCATCAGCCGGCGAAAAGATCCAAACAGTGTTCTCACCCGTGACCTCTGAGCCAAGCATGCCACTCTGCACGAAGCATGCTGTCCCCAACATCCTCAAAATGCTTTCTGGGTCAGTTACAATTACGATGTGTGTGTTTAAAGTAAAGTGAAAATAAATGACGCTTGTTCATGGCAAAAGGCGTTATGGTATACAGCGCTAGACTTATATTATAGACCAGTCTATACTCGATGTCAGCTCTGTGGCTAAGTCGATGCGAACGCTTCGTAATGCCATGGTGCTAGGTTCGATCCCAGATGCAGGCCATGCGCCTTGCGTTGGTTTCGACAGTGGTTTAAGGGGGCCGACCGTTCAGTGAGCATTGGCAAACTACTGGACGTAAATTTGCCTAGAGAAACCATACAACAGCCAGGGGCTGCTGGGGTTGGTTCTGCAACGTCCTGTAAAGGATACCCAACAAACCAATACTCGGTGGGTGGTGTGGTCAATATCACACCAGCCGCCTTTACATTCCAGGACTTCACCTGGTACCCATCTTAGGTTGGGTCGGCCTGGGAGCTGAGATCATTTTTGAAACATCCAATGCGAGGCGAGAGCCAAGCCATCACACCACAGCGGCTGCTGAAACAACATTTCAGAGCTGAACTGGGTTAAAGCTGCAAACATGTATGTTATGTTATGTTACATTATCTTCTTCTTCTTCGCGTTCACCGGCTGTAAACTCCGGCGGAAAGTTACGGTTGTTCGTCTACTTCTGGACTGCAGAGGTCCCGGAAACTGCGTTCAGCCATTCAGCCATATTTATGGCCGGGCTATATTGCGGTCCCTGGCAAGAGCCAGGGTGGGGCTTCTAAATAACGAAAAATGTCATCCCGTGATAGTTATTATAAAGTGTTTCGCTAGTGTACTGAGGGGCATTTATAAAAGAGGTTTGAACAACAGATCAACATCACGGCACACGGGTAGCAACCCATAAGTGCTCCGTTCTTCTTCTTCTAGAGTCCGAAGAAGCTCAGCGTAGTGCACAAGCTCTGTAGCACCGGCGAGAATCCTGAAATACTTTGGGTAGATTTTTTAACTCCGAATTTTGCCCGCGCAGCGCCGTTTGGCTTCTCTTTTCGATTTCCAACTGCCAAGGGATTTTTTTACGCGCGCAAAAATGCACACGGGTGTCCAATCTCACTACCCAGAGACAAGGGCGAATTACTAGAAGTCCAAGTCCATGTAAAAAAGATCCCAGCCCTTACCGGGGATTAAACAGGGAATCTCTAGCACTCGAGGCGGACACCATACCTCGAGATTACGCAGCTCCCAATTTATAGATGAAATGCTTACAAGGGACACATTAGACAACATATCGAAAGCTATAGTCACCAGACCAAAGAAAGAACCTGTCGTCTTCACATAAAGACAGTGGTTTACCTGGGGGGGTCACAGGTATGTGTTTATCTTCATCTGATTTGTCTCACTTGACCAACCAGTAGTTAAGCTACCGCCGGCAGAACCCTGAAAGTCACTGTAATACACAAGTCCCACTACCATAACAAGGTGGAGGAGATACACCAGAGGGAGAAGATCGTGAAGAACCATAAAAACACCGCCTACACAAAAGAGATGATTTGCTTTTTCTTTACACGCAGGAATGGAATCCCGGTTCGGTGTGTTTTGTGAGTCAGTTTCGTTTCTCCAGCATCCCGACAGTGAGTGAGAATGCGTGCCGTTATAGCATTTTCGTTTGCACCCAAACATCTGCAGTGAGTCATACAGGTGTCTCATTCCAATCCACATGAAAGGTATCTTCTCATCGTTGCTGAAATTACTACCTTCCCTCCTTTTAAGCCAGGTTGCATTTGACTACTATTATTCTGTTAATTTCATTATCTATTCTCCGCCTGTGGGTTTCTAATTTGGAGAGAGGGAAAAGCGTAGATGCGCTGTCCATTAACAAGCATTTCCTGAAAGACCACTAATTTAGTTTTTGTTGAAATCGAATGTTTTTTTTTCCTTCCTTTTTTTTTGCCGAAACGCGCAGATATCGCAGCTTAGCTATAAACCGTTACATAGCGTGCCAGTCGCCATTTTAAGGGCAAACAGATTATCAATACAAACGGGTTATTGTAGCGAAACGGTTAGCAGCTATCCGTGAATGTGTGTGAGTGTGTCTGTGTGTGGGGGGGGGGGGGGAGCTGTGGAAATGTTCACGTGGGCCTCCCCGGCCCCCCCCCCCCCCCCCCCAAAAAAAAAACACACACATATATTTTTCTCCTGTCTTTAGAATAAACACCTCAGTGACTTCCTCTTTGTGTAAAATTATATTCTCAGGTATGTCAATGAATAAAAACCAGGCAAAGAAAAAAATGACTTCAACTGTAGCGCTTAGTTTATCAGATGCAACACTCCTGCCACATAAATAACATTGTTTATATTTCTAAGCAACAGAAGAGGTTTCATTGATTTATGTAATATCGGATTTAGCAAGTAAACCTCTAACTACATTTTTTTCCCCGTTACTGTTCTGGGGGTCACACAATGGTTTCAATTTGTTCTGGGGGGCCGCCAAGCGGTTTTCTCTTTCCGGGGCCCACCAAACGGTTTCCACTTCCTGGAATCATAAAACGGTTTCCACTGTTTTGGGGATCGCGAAACAGTTTCCACTTTCTGAGGGACCATGAAATGGTTTACAACTGTTCAGGGAACCGCGAAACAGTTTTCACTGTTCAAAGAGCCGCGAATGTTCTGGAGACCGCGAATGTTCTGGAGGTGGCGAATGTTCTGGAGACCGCGAATGTTCTGGAGGTGGCGAATGTTCTGGAGACCGCGAATGTTTTGGAGTTAGCGAATTTTCTGGAGGTGGCGAATGTTCTGGAGGTGGCGAATGTTCTGGAGACCGCTATTGTTCTGGGAGCCGCGAATATTCTGGAGGCGTCGAATGTTCTGGAGGTGGCGAATGTTCTGGAGACCGCGAATGTTCTGGAGACCGCGAATGTTTTGATGGTGGCGAATGTTCTGGAGGTGGCGAATGTTCTGGAGGTGGCGAATGTTCTGGAGGTGGCGAATGTTCTGGAGGTGGCGAATGTTCTGGAGGTGGCGAATGTTCTAGAGGTGGCGAATGTTCTGGAGGTGGCGAATGTTCTGGAGATGGCGAATGTTCTGGAGACCGCGAATGTTCTAGAGGTGGCGAATGTTCTGGAGACCGTGAATGTTCTAGAGGTGGCGAATGTTCTGGAGGTGGCGAATGTTCTGGAGGTGGCGAATGTTCTGGAGACCGCGAATGTTCTAGAGGTGGCGAATGTTCTAGAGGTGGCGAATGTTCTGGAGACCGTGAATGTTCTAGAGGTGGCGAATGTTCTGGAGGTGGCGAATGTTCTGGAGGTGGCGAATGTTCTGGAGACCGCGAATGTTCTAGAGGTGGCGAATGTTCTGGAGACCGTGAATGTTCTGGAGGTGGCGAATGTTCTGGAGACCCCGAATGTTCTGGAGGACGCGAGTGTTCTGGGAACCGCGGGTGTTAAACCGGTTCAGAAGCAGTTCTAACATGTCCTCATAAAAGAGGTGCCGTCTCCCCAATCAGTGTTGACTGCAATGGATATGTGTATCTATAGGTGCCGAATCCTGAGCTCTCAGGTCCCCTAAAGCCCTCCTCCCCCCCCCCCCCACCTTCTTTTTCTTCTCCCCCCCCCCTTTTCCCCCCAAATTTGTTTGGGAAAAGGACCCCCCCCCCCCCCCCCACCAACGCAATAAGTTTGAAAAGGGGCTAAGAGAAGCCCTTTAACAATGTACAGAGACCCACCCCCCTCCCCCGGTGGGTGGGGCGAGGAAGGGGGGGGGGAGAAGAGGGCATTTAGCCCCCTCAGTGGTTTCTTCGTTTCGAAAGAGCCTGTGCACTATGCTATGCTTCTTTGGACTCAGAGTTGAGTTAGAAGAAGTACGGAGCACTCATTGGTTACTACCCGTGTGCCACGATGTTGATCAGTTCAAACTTCAGACTGATTTACAACGAACGATACCAGTGTCCTTCTTCTTTGTCCTCATGTGCACCCATTACACTGAACTGCATTCTGTAGATCTCTGTCGCCTCCTTGGTGATAAATTACTGCCACAAGCACCGGGGTGGATAGTGAGGGGAGTATATGACAGTGATCCAGTAGGCAGTGGCACTGACACAAAGAAAACATTGTCTAGGGCAGCATGGCGGGAGAGAGATCTCAAAACCCTTCAGTCTTGTTTATGATAATACTTATTATCATTTTTTCCTCATCAACTTCTTCTTGTGCGTGTATTCGAAGATACTTTTGCGCTCTGCCCGTTTTACAGCATGGCTACGATATTTGCGACTTTCGGCCAACATCCGACTTCTGTAGGCATTTCTTGACCCGGTTAGCTTTCCCGTTATCGTTATTTGTTTATGACGTAAAGAACCATTCTCCACGCCCTTTGGCGTATTGGGCACATAGGGCTAAACCTATATTTTATAGACCAATCGGCCCTCTTTGGGTGATGTTGTCAACACCGCGCATTTACTTCCCTCTACTTTACCTGGTATTCATTTAAGGCTGGGTCGACATGGGAGCCAAAGCCTACATTAAAAAAAGGTCCGGCTCCTTGCGGATTTGAACCAACGACATTCGAGCAATCATCCTCTACACCACTGCATCTTCTTCTTCTTCTTCTTCACTTCCTCTTTTACCGCTGTGGGTGTCAAGGGAGATATAAGGTTCTGTTGCTAGCTCTTCTGGCTGCCTCGACCTCATGCTGTTGTAGAGTTTCTCTGATGTTATCCTTCCATCTTGTTCTTGGTCTACCTCGTGCTCTACGTCCTTCTTCTCTCTCCATGTATGCTTTGTATGGTATTGTGTCACAAGGCATTCTCTCTAAGTGGGCAAACCATTTCACTTGCTGTTTTTGTATGTAACCCAGAATTGGTTCTGTGCCGACTTGTTCTCTTATGATCTCATTCCTGATCTTATCTCTTATGGTCACTCCTACAGCCCTTCTCAGACATCTCATTTCCGTGGTTACTAATTTTCTTTTATGGTTTGTTGTGAGTGACCATGTCTGGCACTGGTAGCACAGAGTTAGAATAAATATGCTTTGAATAATATGTCTCTTTGTGCTGATTGGGATTGTCTTATGCTGTAAGAGAGGAGCTAGCTGTCCCAATACTTGGTTTGCTTTACTGCATTTAATGTCAATTTCTTTATCCAATTTCCCATCTTCGGTAAAGTATTATATGTTGTGGCAGGGTCCAAGTGCGGGCTGTCTTTGTTCGGTTTGACAGTGTCAAGTGCGGCCCAAGTGTCGTGGGAAGTTCCGTCGAGAGAATAGCAGGGCTGGGTACATATTAAAATATTGATATCTGGCTAGACAACCAGATAGACAGACAAACATGCACACTGGCAAACAGTACAGAGTGACATTTATCGGGGTTTATTTATAACAAAAATTAATTAAAATTCAGTAACCATATTTTGTCGATTCATGAAAGTTGGCTTTAGAAAATGATTGTGTGAGAAGTGGACATTGAGCGGCAGGCAGAAGACAGCAGACAGATAAACAGAGGAAGAGAGAGAAAGAGAGGAGGGAGAGAAAGAAGGAGAGAAAATAAGAGAGAGTTTTTTTTTTTTTTACCTGCGAAGCAATGCATACGGGCGTCTGATCTCACTACCCAAAGACCAGGGGCAATTACTAGATACCCAAGTCCACCTTTGTACTGAAAAAAATCCCAACCCTTACCGGGGATTGAACCCAGAACCTCTATTACCCGAGGCGAACACCATGTCTCGAGACATGATGACTGGTACAGATAGTTTTTTCATGATGACCGGCACAGATAGTTTTTTCATGATGACCGGCACTGATAGTTTTTCATAATGACCGGCACAGATAGTTTTTCATGATAACTGGTACATATAGTTTTTCATGATGACTGGCACAGATAGTTTTTCATGATAACTGGCACAGATAGTTTTTCATACTGACCGGCACTGATAGTTTTTCATGATAACTGGCACTGATAGTTTTTCATGATGACCGGCACTGATAGTTTTTCATAATGACAGCCCAGATAGTTTTTCATGATAACTGTTACAGATAGTTTTTCATGATGACTGGCACAGGTAGTTTTTTATGATAACTGGCACAGATAGTTTTTTTTTTTAAACTCACAGGCGGCGACCGTGGCTAAGGCGTTGCGAGTCCGACTCGTAATCCAGCGTACCGCGATCGAAACCCACTGCTGGCTGCGTGGATTTTTATCATGGTATGGGGCGTCGCATGTCGACCCAGCCTAAATGGGTACCAGGATGGGCTGTCCTGGGAAAGTAAAGACAGCCGGCGTAATGCTGACCACATTACCCACCGAGTGCTGATGGTCTGTAAAATATGGGCGCTCTTCCCATATGCCCGATGTGCCTAAAAGGCGTGAAGAGAGATCTTTACTTTACTTCACTTATGGGACTCACAACAGCCCATGGCGTGAGTAGCAAGACCCACCTGCGTTAAGAAAAGTCGTCCACAGCAAAAGATTTCAGGACCGTTGTTGTCAACATTTGTGTGTTTAGTCTGTTTCTTACCCCTAACAAGAATGCCCTGGTAATATCTGCCGCAGCGAGCCACATGAAACGTTCCAACGGGTATAGAGCGAGCGGAAGACCTCGGACAATATGGAGTGGTGGCATTTAGAACAGCCTTACAGAAATGAACATCAGTAATAATAGTGCTCTAAACAGGCTCATCAATGAATGTTACACCCCCTCCCCCCAAACCACCTGCACTTCACTGAGGTACAAGGTGGAAGAGAAGAGAAAGAAGAAGTCTCTTTGTCTAAGACGCTCAACTCTCATCCTTTCTGCAATCATTTATTCCTTTATTCTCATTTCCTTTCTGATGTGGCCTATTTTCATACATTGTTATTAAAGGCACTATAGCGGCGTCCGTGGCTTGGGCGTTGCGAGTCCGATTCTGATTCATGGAATTACATGCAAGTTACATTAAATATACTTGATGCGAGATCACAGCAGCTAGGTCCAAAAATCCATAAAGAAAAGACAAAGATAATGAGAATAAATCAGGCAAATAGTAATGTGGTTTCTCTTAATGGCACCTCACTCCAAGACTTGGAGTCGTACACCTATTTGGGCAGTAGTGTAGATAAAGATGGAGGAACTGATAAAGATATTAAAATAAGAATACAAAAGGCAAGATGAGCTTTCGTAGCACTAGGGAATTTATGGAGGTCAAAAGAAATTAAAAGAAATACTAAACTTAAAATTTTTTTATTCTAATGTCAAATCAGTACTTTTGTATGGACATTTGTACATGGAGAACAACTAAGGCAATTACTAATAAATTACAGACATTCATTAACTGGTGCCTGCGCAGAATAGAGGGAATTAAATGGTATATTAGAATAACTAATGTAGAGCTTTGGGAGAGAACTAAACAAGCTCCAGTGCACCAAGAGGTGAGGAAAATAAGCTGGCGTTGGATAGGACACACGTTGAGAAAACAGGAGAACAGCATGTCTTTGCATTGGAACCCAAAGAGGCATAGAAATAAAGGAAGACCAAAAAAAAACATGGAGAAGAGAGCTGGAGAAGGAAATTAGAAAGATGGGAAGGATATGAGGAGAGCTTCAAGTACTGGCGAATGATGGAACGACTTGGCGTGAGTTAATTAAGGGCTTATGCTCCACTAGGGGATAGAAAGGCAGAAGAACAAAAGTGTTTACATGCCTCATTTCAGAAGATCAAAATACGACAACCCTACAATGCAACCAGCCAACGAAGGCATCAACGATGCACACCCAAATCAACACTGATAATCAGCTTGGAGAAATGTTATGTTTATGTGAAAAACGAGGTGTAAAACAAACGGTGAGAAAAGCAAATCAAAATAGACTTTCGTTTAAAAAAAAAAAAATTGCTCATGACGTCACTGATGTGTACGCGGAAGAGAGAATCAGGTTGTTTACCTGCTAACGGGTTTTACGTTTTACATTTTTACATCTGTGAATTTGCATGTGAAGTTTTGCAGGCTGGATCACCAAAATAAATGCAGATAAATGCATATACGCATTAAAAATACAAGCGTACTTCCGTTTTAACTCTCTGGATATCCAACAAAGCACAACACGTTGATTAATGAAAAGCAACTGTATTCCGGTACTGAAATCAAGGATCGCCCTTTAAGTGATGCCAGGGGATCTGGCCGACGCTCAAAACTCAAGGGAAGGATGAGGCGGATATACAATCAGACGGTTACTGGTACCATCGGAATTGGAACTTTTCGCTTGCTGCTGAAAATGGGGACTGAGCAGTTACGGAAGTGTCCCGAGTACTGTGATTGATATCGATTCTTAATTCAATATTCAACATTCACCTGATATAAAACATGAAAATGGTAATATTTTGAAACCAGGTTACGTATTTTTAGTTCAAATGCATTCGAGAACAAATGGCTGAGGAAAATGATGAAGATAAGATGAAATGATTAACGATGGATGAGAAAATAA